CAATCGAACATTACTAGGTCATGAAGAGGCATGGAGTGCTGAAACACACTGATGCGTCAATGAACCTGGAAAGTATGCTAAGGGAAAGGTCATAAAATGTGTGAGAGGGTACCCAAACAATTCTCAGAAAACGTTAAGAAAAAGAAGGCCCCACCCTGGCTTCTACAAATAAAAATGGGCAAAAGATAGCTTGTTAGTCACCTTCATTGTGGCTGAAGAAAGGGAAGGTTTCCTTTGGCTCAAAGTTTGAGGGTACAGTGCAGCGCTCTGGGGAAGGGGTGTCAGTGGGAATGTGAGGCCGCATGGCTAGCTGCAGCCACAGCTGAGAGTCAGAAAAGATGAAGGCCGCTGCTCAGCCCATTTCCTGTCTTCTTTGTGTGCAGCCCAGAAGGCTATTCTCTTCTTTCTGTGAAGCCCCTGGGATGGAGCCACCTCCTTCAGGACTGGAAAAACAAAACAAAACAAAACAAACAAACAAACAAAAAAAAACAAAACAAAAAAACATCCACCTACAGGACGGTTTTTCCTAAAGGAAATAGAGTTTCTAATTGCCACTTGTAATTTGCACACACTCTTGGTGACTTAAAAATCTCATGAAGGTGTTATCTTAAGGTTCTGAGAAGAAGCCTGGAATGGGTCTCTTTCCGGTAGCTATAAAAAATGTAACTCTGTTGCCTCACAGTTCTTTCCAATAGCTGTAAAAAATGTAACTCTCTTGCCTTACAGTTCCCAGCAGCAACTCCTGAAGTTTCTTGTGTAGGCCACGAGGACCTTCACCCTGAGGAAATGAGTTGGTTAGTGACACACCTGGGTCCCTCCCCACTCTTATTAAAGTAGAAATTCTCTCCCTCCCCCCATTAGCCACCTCCCAAGCTCAGCTATCCATTTCCAAAGACGTCGGCTATCTTTGAAGAGCATTTTGAATCTTTTCAGGGAATCTTACCGGCCTAGGTATAGATGCTTTCTTGACATCTTGGTGTGAAAAACAGCTCAGAAATAGAGTTGTCTCACCACGGCCCCCTCCACCCTCAGCACCAGACCCCTGTCCCTCTGCTTCCTCCAACCCTATTGCCCTGCCTCCCTGTCACCTGTGAGAACATTCGATCAAGGTTTTCCCGGACACACCAGCATCCTTCCACCTCGTCCCAGTTGATTCATGACTTTCACCCAGCTCCAGCCTTAACCTGCCCCCTCCTGTATAACACAACATACTCAGAGTTGACAGCGGCCAGCATGCAGACATCTTTGAGAGCCATCATTTTGCTTACCACAGGGAGCGTGAATGGGTTTCCAGGGAGCATGGATCAATTCCCGGGGAGACCTGTGTTTTAGCTGAATTTCTGTGAAGCTGTCACTTCGTGATTCATTGAAGGAAGTGGAGCTTTTCCTTAGCTCTCCCTCGCAGAGCAAACAGTCATAGCTATTAAATGTGCGGTGTCTAGTAACTTCCTTACTTTTTCTCCTCGGGGCTTTAACCACGCAGAGGGCTCTCATATGTGTGACTTGTTCATTCCCTCTAAGTACCAAGCAGGGACACAAAGAGCTACTGGGGCTGCCCCTTTATAGATGAAATAACCTAAGAAAATCAGCCCTCCCACCTAGGGCTCTGATATGGGGCCTTGTCTCCAAGGTCTTTTATCATCACCACACCCCCAGGATGTGTGTATTTGAGACAAGATTTCATACAGTCTAGGCTGGCTCAAGTTTACAAGGTAGCCAAGACTGGATTTGAACTCCCGATTCTCCTGCATGTCTTCCAAGTGCTGTAGTTACAAGTGCACACCTCCACAGGCCCCTTACCAGCGTCTTTGCGCCGTCAGGGGCCAGGCCTTCTGGGAGACTCAAGCCAACATCAGCACATCTTTGGTCTTTGGTCAAATTCCACCTAGAATTTGACATCCAATACCCACATGTTGAATTATTGATGTTTTCCTTTTGTGGCAGACATAATGATTTTTTCAGGTCAGGGAAACTAGGAGTCCCCTCCTTCCCTACCTACCTCTGTCTGCATACCATGTCAGCCATGCCCTTAAATAGTCGCACATAGCGAGTGCCCCCTCTTTGCAGCCTCTTTGTCTGCCCTATCACATGCTGTTTTCATCTCCCACCTGCACAGCTGCCCAGGCCTCCTTGATGGCTTCCCTAAGAGGAAGGCCAGTGGGGGACACAGTGAAGGACTTAAACCCTTCAAACCAGATGTCATGGCCCTGGGTTAAAGTTTCCCTTTGGATTTCTGTTCCACAGAGGAGAAACCAGTGCTAAGCCTAATTGTGTCATGGAGGGTTCTGTATGCAGGGGACCTGACTGCGCTCTTCAGCCCGTGTCATGCCCCTGCCTCAGCTCCCTATGCTTCAACTGTACCTGCTCTGCCCGCAGGCCACCCTCTCCCAAGCACAGGCCTCTGCAGTGCTGTCTTCCTGTCCGTCTCTGCTCTTGCAGTAGCTGCGCTAGGTCTCAGCTCCAACGTTGCCTTTCAGAGAGGTTCTCTTGGCCATCCCTGCTTTGTTTATCAGCTGTGGCCTTCAGTAAGTGCAGTATCTGTCTATCCGCAGTTTTCCTTGGCCTTCTTGCCTAGATCTGGGACAGGAGTTTTGTTTGATATTAAGCAAAAGAGGCTACCAGCATCTGCCACACAGATTGTCTGAGATGAGTCCAAAGTGGACGCCACACAATATGTTTTGAAGACTCAACACATCATCAATAATTTCTACCCACTGACTAGAATGATAGTATCTGGATACACTGAATTAAACCAAAACATTATCAACCATTAATTTGCATCCACTGTCTTCATGTGAGTGCTGGAAATTTTCCCTTTATACATGAACACGTGTTGTACCTCATGGAGGGACGGGCCCAAGGCCGCTTAGATTTTTTCAATTTGTGATCCCTGCCGCTTTTTGGTTTGGGTTTCTTTGTTTCTGAGACAGGGATTCTTGTAATCCAGGCTGGCCTCACACTTGCTGTTCTGATCCTGCCACCTCTGCCTCCCAAGTGCTAGATTGCAGAAGGTTACGAGTGCAACGCTGGGATTCAAACCCCAGGGCTCATGTCTGCCAGACAAACACTATCAGCTGAGCTATATCCAGCCCTTTTTCCTTGTAAGAAAGAACTCCTGGGCACATAAGCGTATCCAGTAGGTATACAAACCAAACATTTACTGATAATAAATCATAAAACTATCTATTTTAAAATATGTTTAAACTACATACAATTTTATCACATATAAAGGCCTCTAACAAACATGCATCCTAATGAGATCATGTACTGCTTTAATTTCTGCATAAAGGACAAAATCTTGGCTGAATATTTGATACCATAGGATATTTTTCAGGTTTGATATTTTAATGTCATAATCATCAATGCTGAGAATGCCACTTTGTATGAATATGTAGCACAAATGTCAGACAAAAATCTGTCCTAATCCCAATCCAAAATTCATGTAATAATTCTTAGGAAATTGAATTCAGGAACTCGATCAGAATTTAAAAAAAAACATTTCAGTGTAACATAATCCGAAGATATTTTAGTTTGACACCTGTTGAGGAATAATGGCAGGAAAATATTGAGTCTTTCCTCCGGTTAATTAAGTAGTCTGTACAGTAAAGCCTCTGCAGTTCTTAACACACCAGAATCTCAACTCTGGCCCGAGGTGTTCATGGGTGGTTTGGACCGAGCAGCAGATTCAAGAAAAAGACTGCAGGAATGTTAGGCAGCCACACAGGTGACTGCTGTCTGAAAGACCCCAGGCTCAGTAGGGGGCTGCTTTGGGATGTTTAATCACTACACATTTAGAAACCTTTACTGTTGCCAAAAGTTTCACAACCATCACACATACAGTTTGAGTCAAACCCACCGCTTCAGAGACTGAGGTCTAGACGGCTCCCTACCTACCGGAGGGAAGAACTGCCTTTATCTCTTCCCATGACTGTGTCCCTAGTCCCTACGGCTTGTTAAATATTTGTGGGCTAATTTGTGTTTTATGAAAACAGAGAACGCTGAGTCAGACACCCCACATTCACTGTGAACTCAAGGAAGGGAGAAACCTAAAGAATGGGTTTCTTTTTCTCCAATTGCACTTGAACAGATTCTCTGTCCCTACCCGTGTGAACAGGCCCCTGCAGTCACTTAGAAGGACAGCTGTGCTGGCCACAGGCACAAAGCAGGCGCAGCTGTTTCTGTTCAGTCCCCACAGGAGGCGCCTAAGCCCCTTTAGCCTATGCAGATAGCGTCAACTGAAGTCGCAGGGGGACTGTCTCAGATTATTCAACAAGTAAATGTGAACGCTGTCTGAACTGTGGACATCTTGTTGCAGTTTTCTGAGCCAGGATCCGGGTGACTGGAGCCTTTTTATACCTCCCTCTCCTCCACATTGACTCCTGATTTCTTCAGGCCTCTAAACAGCAGTCATGCCTGAGGGCCTAGTAGAATTACCCACATGGCACCATTTCCTGGGGACGAGAGTATATTAAGGGTAGGTAGGAGAGAGGAAGGTTGAGAGATAGTGGACTGACGGATGATGTGAGGATGGATGGGAGGGAGAGAGAGAAGATGAGAGATGAGCGAACGGGTGGACTGATGCATACATGAATGGAACGGACGGCAGATGAAGGTGAATGGATGGGTAAATGGAAAGAACGGATGAGTAGACCTGGATGGGGGAATGAGTGGGAATGGGGAGGATGGCTGCTAGGATGGCTTCATGAGCTGGGGGATGGAATGGAAGGAATTTTTTCTTGTCCCAAACAAAAACCGAGCAGCAGAGCCCTCAGCAAAGAGTCCAGCCTCCATACTAAACTCCACACTAAAGAAAAGCTGGCTGCTTTGCCCCCAGCCGCGGGCAGGTGCAGGCACAGCCGCAAACTGAGTGTCTGGGCCCCGTTGGGGGCTCCCCACCACATTCCCCTACAACGCCGCGCCTGACGGTGCCAGGGTGGGGGGAGCGCCCCGCCCCCACCTCCGGAGGTGGCGTCCCACGCGGCCGCAACAAGCTGCCGTTGTCCCGCGGGCCGTGGGCCCCGCACACTGGGGCTTTGTCCGGCCCCCCGCCACGATCCACGGGGGAGGGGGGCCCCACATGACCGAGGGGGTAGGAGGAGCCTGCGGCTGTGGCAGCGGCGGCAGCGGCGGCGGCGGCAGCGGCTCCATCACTTTCCTCCGGGGCCGGGGGTCGGCGGGCGGTGGCACCGGCGACTGGACAGGTCTGGGCAGGGCCGTGGACGCCGGGCCCCTGGTTCCCCATCAGGCTGCGGGCTCTGGGCCTGGGGCCAGCTGGGCAGCTGTAAACCCAGCGCTTTCCAGGCGCCGAGCTGGGGGTGCGCCCGGCCACCCGGCCTCGGGATCATGGGGAATGGCATGACCAAGGTAGGGGGAACCCCCGCCACGCCTGGCCGTCCCCGCCCCGCGGCCGGGCCCAGGACGGGTCGCTGACCTTCTGCTCCCGTTCCGAGATGTATGCCACATCTCTGTCACGCTGCCCTCGGAGACTCCCTCTGCCTTTCTCTGCCTCCGCCTGTGCCTGTCTGTCCTCTGCGACTCTGACTCTTGCTGTGTCTTTCGCTGGCCTCTCTGGGAGCGCCTTATTCTCTGTGCCTCGCTGTGTCTGTGTGGGTCTGAGATTGCTGGACTCTGGTGTCTCTTCTGTTCTTCTCGCTCTGCTCCGCATGGCCTTCCACCTGTGCCTGCCTCAGTCCCCTCTGTCCGGGGCTCACTCTGTGCCCCTTTCTGATCTCTACCTGGGACTTTCTACCCATCCCTCCTCTTCTATCTGTCCCCAAGCTGAGCTCTCCTGACCCCTCCTGTGGTTAATTCATTGCCTGTTCTTGCATCCTTGCCAGAGGCCCAAGACCCCTCATGCAGCACCCAGACCTATCAGGGAGATGGCTTCCTGGGGTCCCATCACCAATAGAGAAGAGCTGCGGGCCCCAGCTACCATGGGTGGGAAGGGGTGCAGCCTGCCCCCTGACCCCTGCTGTCCTTCCTCCAGGTACTTCCTGGACTCTACCTTGGAAACTTCATTGGTGAGCACTTTCCACTCTGTCCCAAGGCCGAGGCTCTCTGCCTGTCCCAGGCCTGTGTCCACTGTTCACACTCAGGCCCACACAACTTAGACGCTCTCAAGAATGGAGTGGGGGGAGGGAAGGATGCCAGGCTGGGAGGAAAAAAAGACTCAAGGAGGATTGGGGGGTACAAGAGTGAGCAGTCCCCAGGCTGGAAAGATCCCAGTTCAGCCTTTCCCCAAGGTTCACCAACAGGCTAAGGCCTGCACAAAGGGCTCAGGGTCTCCTCACCCAGCTCCTTGGCATGAGGCCCACCAGCCCCCAAGGGCTCTTCCGTGTAAGTTTTTGTTGAGGTCTGCCTGGAGGTATGGCTAAGCTGGGGTTCTGAAAAGGATGCTGGATCGGCTCCTGTAAGCAGAGTCCTGAGTGGAACCGCCAGGCGGCCTCAAGCCAGGGGGTGGCAAACCTGCAGGTGTCTGCCTTTTTCTCCTCACTATCCCTTCCACAACCTTCCGTGGGGGAGAGGCAGTGCCCTCCCCAACCCTGCCTTCACAGGCCCCCAGGCTGGTGGTCAGGAGCCAGATCTGGACATAGACCTTTGACTTGGTGGTAGAAAATGTGCTGAGACAGGCTGGCTCAAGGCCTGGGGACCCAAGGTGGAAAAGGCACAGAGAAGACGCAGGTGACCCACCCCACAGCCCTGGCTCCTTCCTCCCTAGGAGCCTCCTCAGCAGCTCCTCCCACATTGATTTCTGAGAGGATTCAGCTTAGCCCTGTGTTAGTTCCGCCAGGACAAGAGCCATGAAGTTGACCCCAGACTCAGTGCACATAGCGGGCATATGGGAGCATTTGGTGAATGAGGAAGCAGGGGTATGAGAATAAGGACTGTGTGTGATTTATCCTACTTATAAAAGGTACATGCCGGCATATCTCACTCCCCAGAGATGACCACCGACAGTCCTAAGGGGCATTTTGTCAGCTATTGTAGATACAGATAGAATATTTAAAACAAATGGGACCTCATTCTGCATGCAGTTCAGGAAGTGACATGTCCCACTTAAAATATATATTGGCGACATCTTCATCTATCAGCTCCTGGGGATCATTTTAATTGTGGCACAGGAGTCCAAAGTACAGTTGTACTTGTTTTTTCGTTCTGTCCCTTTTTGGTTGACACTCGGTTGCTCCAAACATTTAGCTGCTTCTGCAATAAACAGAGCTGCAGAGAACTTCAGCCTCCTTGTGTAACCGCTTTCTGTCCACAGATCCCTAGAAGTAGAATTTCTGAGTCTAAGGATGAGCTAGGGAGATAGGGGTCTGGGATGGGAAGAAAAACAACACAGAGCTGAGGAACACCAGCCCATCTCTGATGGGTGCCCCATAGGCAGGGAAGGAACAGGCCAGCGGGCGGGGGGAGTGGGTCAAGCTGAAGGGAAGGGTGAGGAGGCAAGCTGGGCACTGGCTTTCTCTGCACTTGGGCCTTAGGAATAAATTAGTCCCATCTGCCAATGTGGCTCAAGTGTCCTGTTTCTTTCAGATGCCAAAGACCCTGATCAGCTAGGCCGGAATAAGATCACACACATCATCTCTATCCATGAATCACCCCAACCTCTGCTGCAGGTATCTAAGCTCCCCATTCCAGGCTGATAGATGGGGAGGGCAAGCCATAGGACCGGGACTGCACCCTACCCCGTCCTTGCTTTCTAGTACTGGAACTGTAGCCCAGAGTGTCAAACACGCTAGGCAAATGATCTATTCTTGGGCCATAGTCCTTGAACAGCCATCTTGACCCCAGCTGACTCATCCAGCCTCCCTGGACTGTTTTAGCATCCCTGTTTGGCAACTGAGGGCCACAAAGGTAAGTGAACTCGTGAAAGGTCATATGGTGAAGAAGCTGACCAACTAGAATTTGAACCTAGGCCATCTAACCCTAGAGATCTCATAGCAATCCTTAATATTAAGACCTTAATGCAGGTCTCATGTTAATCCTTTTTGAACCTACCTTGGCATGCTTCCAACTGCCAGGTGTCTGGATCATTCCAAACAGGAGATCCCGGGTTCTGTGTGTCTTGCTGTGCAACTTTGGACCATGACCTCGGCTCCTTGGGGCCTTTAGTCAAGACTGCCCCAGAGGGCTGTTGTGAGGCTGCAGAGGGCTGCCAGGTGTGGAAGACAGTTCTGCATAAGGCATAGTCTCATTGAATGATCGGTTCTGCTCTCATGGAATCCTAAGGAAGAGATGAGAGTGTTGGGCCCCGAAGGAAGAGAGTAAGAAACTCAGACAACTGGTGCTGGGGTCAGGAGACCATTTATGCTCTTTGCGACCTTGTGCACAAGACAATCTGAGCTCCGGGCACCCATCTATTAAATGGAGATTTTGCAGTAGCACTGACTTCACCGAGTTTCTTTGAGCCACACACAGATGCTCAACATGTATATACCATCGATATCTAGATCCCAGGCTAGGGAGATAGCTTGGTGTGTGTCTAAGAGCACTTTCTACAGATTCCCAGCACCCATGTAAAAGCCAGGCATATCTATATGTGCTTGTAACTCTGGCACTGGAGGTGGGGTGAGGGAGTGGAGGTAAGAGACTCTCTGGGACCAGCTGGCTGTCAGCCTGGCTGAAAAACATCTCCAGGTTCTGTGAGAGAGCCTGTCTCAGGGGGAATAAGGCAGAGGGTGACAGAGCAGTACACCTGACCTTGGCATGCATATACACAAATGTATATAGCCATTCCCCCATACATACATATGTGTATCCATAGGTACACACACATGTACATACGTGCATGTGCACACTCTCATAAAAAGCTCCTTGTCTTAGAGTCTGTGTCTACTACATCTATTAGAAAGAATGGTAGATTGAAAAGGCTCTGAAGATCTGAAATAAAAACAAACAGGCTGTAGGGGGCTGGAGAGATGGCTCAGTGGTTAAGAGCACTTGTTCTCATAAGAGACCCAGGCTTGGTTCCTAGCACCCACGTGGCAACTCACACTGTAAACTCCAGTTCCAGAGAGATCTGATGGGGACTGGGCACACAAACAGTATACATACATGCACGCAAGCACAGAACACTTGTACACATAAAATAAATATTTTAATAAAAATGGCAGAATCCGCCCACACACTTGCTGTGATGACCTTGGGCGGGGTCTTTCATCCTCTCTGGGCCTTGAACTTGTTTGTTTATTGGTCACCTGTCAAATTTAATGGTCTCTAAGGGCAGCTGACAATAATCTATGACTTTCATGGTCTATGAAGAAATTTCCAGGCCAGTGCAATCTGATTTTGCATTCTAGGGCAGCCTCGTTCTGAAGCACTGGAGTTTGTAGTCTGAAAAGATTGCACAGGCAGGCTTTCCAAGTTATTAATGTGTTTATTAAGAAACGAGTGCTTAGGAAAAGCGCCCTGCCCCAACACCTCACCGGCAGCTGTCCCTCCCATCTGGGAGTTCAGCAGGCAGGGTTTGATGGTACCAGGCCAACCTACAGCCAAACACACTGAGAAGTGAAACTGCAGCTCTTGCAAACAATGTGGGATTCTATGACCTTGAAACTCTTGGAAAGGGATGGGACAAATCTCCGTGGACACAAGAGAGCAGGTCCTGTGTCCTTTAGGAGCCACAGCCAGCAGCAGACCAGGCACCTGAAAAGGGCTGTGTGAAGTAACAAAGTGTTGAGCAAAATCTTTGAGAAATAGCAGGGAAATGTTTGGGACGTGGACAGAAATATCCTTGTGTGGAACTTCAGCAGGAAGCAAAGCCTATCAGACCAGTTCATGAAGCTGTTGTTGATGGTGGTGTCTGGTGGCGGTGGTTGTGGTGGTAGTGGTGGTGGTGGTGGTGTGTATGTGTGTGTGTGTGTGTGTGTGTGTGTGTGTGTGTGTGTGTGTGTGTTGTTTGTTTGTCTTTTGAGACATGACTTGTTGTGGTAGCCCGGGCTGGCCTCTCACTCATCATCCTCCTGCCTCAGCCTCCTGAGTGCTAGGACTACAGGTCTGTGGTCAGGTCACTATGCCCGACTGTTCTTTTCAGAGTTCACACTCTTCAAGAAAAATGAGCTGTGCCCTTTTCACTGCATAACTTTGCAATCCCTGCCGGGAGGAGAATCCTCAAAGAAACACCTTCCCTGTTTCCAAGTCCTTACGTCCATGGCACTTGTGGGTGACGACACTGTCTTCACAGAGAGAGCTGACAGTTCCATACAGATAGTACCTGTTTCTTTGTGGACAGGAAACAATGGTGGCCCAGAGAGGAGCAGGAATGGTCTGGGGTCACCCTGGCCGTAGCAGCTCGGGGAGGGGTACAGGCAAGGCACTACTGTCTGAGTTTGTGTTTTATCCCTGCAGGATATCACGTACCTTCGAATCTCAGTCGCTGATGCTCCTGAGGTACCCATGTAAGTTCCCCCTGATGGTCCACCAGCTGACGGAGAGCTGTCCCTGGGGTGGGGGTGAGGGCATAAAGCATTCAGACCAGAAAGGGCACCCAGAGACACAATGAGTCTGTTTCCACCATGCCCTTGCAACATGTCCCCACTAGCTCTCTCCAGAGCCTCAGCCTGCTCCGCTGTCATGTGGAGAAAGCATCCTGTCTCCTGGGACCCAGGCACAGCAGATTCGAGGGTCAGACTTGACCTGCGTCCTGGCTTGCAGTTAAGACACCTGGTTCACAGCCAGGCTTTGGCATTTACTGCTGTGTGACCTTGGCAAAATCACTCGTCCTCTCTGAGCTACGTAATGGCAGGATGTGATGAATCGAGGGTTTGCAAAGATGAGGTGACCTGAGTTGAGGACGTGGGACTGGACCTGGTAATTGCAGGGACTCTGGAAAACGGGGATCTTGTTTGGTTTGCTAGCATTGATATCTCAAGACTGGGATGGACTCAGGCCGAAACCTGGCCCTTTGGGGCCCTTCTCCCAGCCCACAGCTCACTATCGTTCCAGGTCCTCCAGTTACAGGCCCCAGAGAAATGGCACCTAGCTCTCCCCATACCCACGTCCCTGAAAGGCCGGAATGTACCCATAGTGGAAGCTCATGTCTGCTGGAGACGAGCCTACCTAGATGGTGGGGCAGCCTCTCTCGCGGCTGGCTGTGCCGCCTCCTTCCCAATCAGTGCCCCCCTTCACTCTGCATGCTGGCTGCACTGAGGATCTAGGGAGGGGGAGGCAGCTCCTGAGAGACCTGCCCCCCCCACCCCAGCATTCCCTTCCATGTTGCTTTCTTCTCCAGCAAAAAGCACTTCAAAGAATGTGTCAACTTTATCCACAGTTGCCGCCTCAACGGGGGTAACTGCCTTGTACACTGGTGAGTTCTGGGGCGCCCTCCCCCCACGCATGCCTATCCAGTGGGGCAGGTTCCCTCCAGCCTGTCACACTGCTGACAGTCCCTTGGGACAGACCACCCGGAGGTTCATTACTTCTGGCACCCAGATGGTCCTAGCCCAGGAGCTGTGTTTTCCCGAGACTCAGTCTCTTTATCTGTCAAGTGGAGGAATCAATGCCATGTTCACAGGGCTACTGAGGGAGCTGGGTGGGGTCACACAGGGAACCTGCTCATTCTATCCCCACCTCTCCCTCACTTTGAGGCCGCAGTGCATGGCTAGGACTTTGGGCTGAGTCTTCTCCAGGGTCCCTGACCCAAAGGATGTATTCATCCCATGACATCTCACCAAGGGCTCTGACTGGGGCCAAGGGACCAGTTCCCTCAAGACCTAGGTCTCCAGCTGGACGGTTGTGTCACTTGCCTTTAATTCCAGCACCTGGAAGGCAGAAATAGGCGGATCTCTGTGAGTTCAAGGCCAGCCTGGTCTACAGAGTGAGTTCCAGGACAGCCAGGACCAAACAAAGAAACCCTGACTCAGAAAAAAAGAAAAATAAAAAAGGAAAAGAAAAAGAAAAAATGACCTGGCTCTCCTCGTAGTCAGCTATTTCCAGTCCACAGCCCACCTTCCACCTCGTGATCGCTACACGCTCTTCTTAAGAGTATTTTGTCTTGTTTTTTCTCGTGGTGCAGGCAATTGAACTCAGCCTCATAAACACCGAACAAGCCATCCACAATCACCCATTACCCCAACTCCACAACATTCTTGTCTACCCCTGTCTTTCAAGACTTGGCTTGATGTCACTTCCTAGGGAACCTCTCCCCAGCACCTGTCTACTTATGTACATGGCTCCTCAAGCCCCAGACTCATCTTGTCTTCGGGCAATCATTTGAAATTGCTGCTTTGCCTAGTGACTGTCTCGCCAAACAATACTGTAAGCTCCAGGGCAGCAGAGGCCATGAGTTTTGTTTTGTTTTGTTTTGTTTTTTGGTTTTCCTGGCCATACCCTATTGCCTGAACAAAAACACTATCAGGGGAACTTTGCTGAATGATGTCCCAGCCAGTCCCTTGGAGTGGGGGAGAGAGTGCTGCTGCTCAGAGGGAAGGGAAATGTCACAGGCAAATCTTAGAGCAAGGAAGGCAGATCCAGGCAGGCTCCCCGTGGTTGGAGCTCAAGGGGCAAGCATGGGGAAGGACCAGGGAAGCAAGGGAACTGACAGGGAGGGATGTGGAAGGGGGGGCCTTCCTGAAGCCTGGGGTTGTCCGGGATCCAGCTTTGCAGGTATATCTCGAAGTACCACCATTGTGATCGCCTATGTGATGACGGTGACCGGACTAGGCTGGCGGGAAATACTTGAAGCCATCAAGGCCACCAGGCCCATCGCCAACCCAAACCCAGGCTTTAGGCAGCAGCTTGAGGAGTTTGGCTGGGGAAACTCGCAGAAGGTAGGGACTATGTGCAAGGCTTTGCTGTGCAGGGCTGGGGCTGGGGCTGGGGCTGAGGCTGAGGCTGAGGCTGGGGCTGGGGCTGGGGCTGCGAGAGGTTTGGGAAGCATCCTTGATCTTAGCACCCATTGGAGGTGACCCACCCTGTACCTGTCCCCTCCCTCCTCTCTCACCTTGGTAACAAATGCACAATCCTCCTGCCTCAGACTCCCCAACACTGGGATTGCACCATAGGTAACCCACACCTGGTCTGGATTTCCAGGTTTTCTTTTGTTCGTCTTTTAAACTAAGCGTTTAGATGTTTATGAACCAGACTGTGACAACACAGGTGTCCCCAACACAAGGCAGTCCAGAGTTTGTCCACTTGGGGTCTGTATCCTATTCTACCAGAGTCTTTCTGAGGCCAAGGGTGTCCCTTCTCTTGGCACTCTGGGGAGACAGCACATGGAAATATCAGCTTCGTATTTCAGGCAGCTAGGAAAGGGAGGGAGAGAAAGGAATGGAGTGGCTGGAAGGTTCTCAGAAGGTGGCACTGGATTCCAGGGCTGCCCTAGGCCAGGAACAGACAAGAGACCCCTGGGGTGTGGTGTCTTTGAGTCCAGGGATGGGGACAGAGGCTCAAGGGAAGTTGTTTAGTGCGGTTTGCAGTGGGCAAGTCTGGAAGACGGAGTGTCAAGGGTAAGTGGGGTTTAGGAAGAGGTTAGGGCCTCAAATGTGAGGCGGGGCGTCTCGGTGAGTGTCGGGAAGTCTTAGAATGAAGACAGGGAGCTTAGAAGAGCTAAGTGTGGGGAGGGAGCAAGGGTGAAGGTGGCAAACTGGTGGCAGCTGGACCTGTGCTCTGCTTCCCCTCCCCGCCTCAGCTTCGCCGGCAGTTGGAGGAGCGCTTCGGGGAGAGCCCGTTCCGCGACGAGGAGGAACTGCGCACGCTGCTGCCTCTCTGCAGGCGCTGTCGCCAGGGTTCGGCGACCTCCGCCACGTCGGCCACAGCGTCCTCCGCCGCTTCCGAGGGGACCCTGCAGCGCCTGGTGCCGCGGGAAGCCCACCGGCCGCTGCCGCTGCTGGCGCGCGTCAAACAGACTTTCTCCTGCCTCCCGCGGTGCCTGTCGCGCAAGGGCGACAAGTGAGCGCCCTGCCCGCCGCTCCGCCTGTCCTCACGCCACAGCCCTTCGCCGGCGGCCAGGGCTTCCCGCATCCGGGAAGCGCCCAGAGCTTTCGGGAGCCTCGCCCATGCCCAATGTCCACCACGCTTGTCTGCGTCCGTCCTCAGTGTCCCCTTTGTGAGTCCGTGTTCCGCCGACCTGCTTCAAGCCACCTGGTGCCTTAGTCCTTGAGCCCGGGGAAGGGGTCCTAGGCCTCCATCCAGACAGACGGGGAGCAGGAGGTTGGTCGGGTGGGGTGGACCGGCCTGGAGGAGATTAAAGAGATGCGGACGTTGCCTGGCCCGGTGCCTCTGGTCATTCTGCAGAGCCTGGGTTCTGCAGCCTGCGTGAGGCAGGCCGGGAGCAGCTTCCAGGGGCCCGGGGAAGCGCCATTCTCCATTAGTCTGCAGAGCTGAATTCCAAGACCATACCCTTCTCATCAGACACCCCTCCCCCAATCCCCATCTCTCCCAGAGCCCTGGACTCCTGACGGCTCTTTGGACCCATCACCTCTCTGAGGCCCCTCCCTCTTCTCCAAATAACTGGCCGGTGTGCGCCAGTTGGTGGTGTTGCCTTCACATCAGCTTTAACGGTCTGAGATGACTTTATACTCAGGGAGAACACCCAGGATCAGAGAGGCCAGGCTGCTGGCCCAAGCACACACAGCTAAAGCAGGTCATTCCAGTTGTGGCAGGAGGGAGGAAGCAACTCCTGGTGTGGAGGTTTCTGGAGAGGAAGACCAAGCACCATCTGGGGTGCAGGGGGTGGCAGGACACCCAATAAAGAGTAAGCAGCCCTGTGGATGGACAGACTAAGGGGTGTCACAAGAACTGATTACCTGAGGGAGCTGAAGTCGCTGTTGCTCAGTAGACTCTTGGCTTCACGGCTGATGGGGCACAGCCCCAGGGAACTGAGCAGAAGGAATGGTGGGCTACCCACACCAACCCCCAATTCTTCATCCACTCAAATGTTCATTGAGCACACAGTGTGCCGGACTGTGCTGGACTCTGGGCCTACAGCAAGGAGCACACCTCTGTCCATGGCTGGCCTTCTAGTGAAAGAGACCAGATAAAAGAGGGGGTAAGAGAGTGGGCCATCTTGCCACCTGTCAGAAGAACAGGGAGCGACAAGTGGGAATCCCAAGATGCAGGAGCAGTTAACTGAAAAGGCTCGGAATTAGGGCTTTGTGAAGAGAAAGGGTGACTGTGCTCCCCAGAGGACAGGGAGCCCTGCATCCTCCTAATTGGCCGGTGCCACCACAGTCCACCCGTCTTCTAGCCCCTCTGTCCCGGACAGTGTCATTCCCTCTTTGAAACAATAACGTGGTCCCATCGTCCACAGACAAAACCAAACCCTTTGGTATAGTGTTCCAGACCCTTCCAGAGGCTCCCTGGATGGAGTGTTGCCTCTACACACGGCCTCAACAGTGCAGTGTTCTCCCCTAGGACACTATCGCTGTCCTGAACACTCCAGCTCAGCCGATCCTCATCCCACCCTAACAGCTGCCCCATTTATCAGAAGAGAAAATGGAGGCTGGAGCCCGGGTCATGAGCAGGAGATGGGGCTAGCATGTGAACTCAGGCATCTGGTTGCGGGCCCCAGCCTCCTATCATTTACCTCTGTAATCTAGAAATCGGAAGGAGGCTGCTTGGATGGGCAGGACACCTCAGGCTGGCTTCTAAAACTCCAGCCTCAGCTGGGGATAGTTAAAAAACTAGCCCGCCAATACCAAACAGCTGCAGACTTTTTCCCTCTTCGTTATTTCCTAAACGGTCTGACAGCCTCCCAGCATTTGCTCCCCAGTAGGCTTTCTAGAGTTTAAAATATGGCGGAGGGTTCTTGCAGGTTCCGTGTAAACAGCCCACCACTTGGTTTAAGGGATTTGCCATGCACTTCGTCACTCAGTGGAGTCCTGGAGCCAACCCCTCACCCATATAAAAGGACCACTAATTCCTACTCATGTTCATCCCATGAAACGCTTTGTGCCCCTCTAGAGTTCACAGGTCTGAAGTGGACTGAGGCTGCACAAGTGTCATGTGACAGCTGCTGGCACGTGGGGCCGAGAGGAGGAGGAGTGAGAGTAGCCTCCCACAGGAGCTTGCGAAGGGGAGACCTCACCCCCCAGCTCTGTCCAGGCTGGACTAGCCACTGCACTAGGAATTTTCTTCTTTCAAAGCCTCGGTTCTGCCACATACACAGCAAGGGCTGATGCAGCTGAACTACTCAGCACCCTTCATACTGCAAAGATTTCTTGATAATAAAAGAGAAATTCTAGAACTGGGTGTGGTGGTGCATGTCTACGATCCAACACTCAGGAGGCAGGGGCATAAGGATTTTTATTCAAAACTACCCTGGGATAAATAGAGAGGCCCTGTTTCAACCTCCCCCCACCCCTTCTAAAAGACACCAATCCCCAAATTATATCAGTGTGGAAATGTCCCCATACAATCTCAGAAGATCTGGGACCCCACCAGGAACCTGCAAATTCTAGATGTAGTTCTCAGGAGGTGGCAAGGGGGCACGGACACGGAGCTCTGGATCCTGGCCATCCCTGGTGGTGCCAGAGCTTCCTAATAGCTGTAAGTTACTGAAGACCCATGGGGGAAGGGCTCAGCCAGGCCAGCAGGAGGACGAGCAGCCACTTGGCAGGCTGGCTTAGCATCCTGGTCCCTGGGCTTCTCTAAGGTTGCATGGAGGTCAGCTGTGTGCCTCACGTTGTAACAGGAATGGGTTTGAGAAGCATTTTCCTTTTCCAACTTCCACAATGCAGGTCCTGAGGAAAGACTGACAGGTGGGCCTCGCCTGGCACCACTATGTAGAAGGTGCTGAGGCTGGAGGATGCTGAAGTTGGGGAATCAAAGACCACCAGTGTGTAACATAGCAAGATGTCTCAGAAAAACGAGACAAAAATAGGCCGTTTACGGGTGGTCTAAGAGAACAGAGCGCAGGTGCTGGGCTGGAGCAAGATGGCTCCTCTGCTGAAGACTTTCTCTACCCCTCACCTACACTCACAACCACCACCCCTAACCCTACCCCCACCCCATTGCACTCAGGAGCTCATTCTTGTCCCTGGTGCTCCAGGACAGCCAGCCACCAGGAGAGGTGAAAGGCAAGGGCCTTGGGGTAGAGGAACTGAACAGAATGAGAAACTTTACCAAGCCAACTTTTACTTTCTTGGGGTCCGTATTCCATCCAGGTGAGCTGGTAATTCCCCGATGCTCACACAGCCAGCGCACTGTCCCTAGCGATTTGCCTAGGAAAGATTCTGTCAATAGGAAATCTATGGCAAGAACTGTGGATCCTTACTGTCTCCAGGACTGGTTGGTGGTACAGACAGAAAGTTGATGCTAGGAAGGGTTGTGCTGGGAAGATGTGGGCAAGACTCTCTTCCGCATCCCCTGGTAGGCCACAGCAGCGACCTACCAGACACAGCAGGAAGCAGAGGTTTTTCTGGGTAAGGAGCAGAGTCCTGGAAAACCCTGGCCAGGCGGGCTTGAACTCACAAAGCTTCAGCATCCTGCAGGAGCCTAGGCACCAGCCCATGAACTGTGACCTTGGACCATCCACATGGTCTCAAGGCTGAGTGTAGTGTTCCCCAACATATACAGGGGAGCTTTTGACACCCTCTTAAAATGTTAGCTTGTCACTGCCTGTGACCTCTCCATGCTTTGGAGGCCTTTCCTCTTGGAACTCTCACCCCAATGGCCAACCTCAGCATCCTGAGAGCCATCTTTTCAGGACCTCCTGCAGGAAAGCCCCTTGCTCAGGCATCACAAACTTTCTAAAATTAGCTGCTTTGAAGAGGCAGTTAAAACTCTCCTGAAGTCTCTCCCCTGAGCCGCAGCATCCAGCTGCACATCAGGACACAGTCCTCACCACGAGCACCCAAGTCATCTCCAGCTCCCCTCTCCCGAGACACTTAGTGTCCCCCTATTAACTCCATCTGGCTTCTGTCTCTCCTGATAATAAAGTCACTAGCTGCCGAGTTCAAAGAGGGAAGCATCCTAGCCTCCCCCAAGATGGTCTTGTACCTGGTGAATCCATCTTACTCCAAACGGTCTCACTGGGTCTCCAGGATCTCACCCTAGTTACAAGACCTCCGTGCTCCTCCTGCCCATCTATGTCCAGCATCTCTCTCTAGGTCACTATAGACACACACACACGGGGGGGGGGGGGTTCTCCTGACCCTCAGCAATCCCCTCAAGCCCTCAGAGGGTCCTTTCTAGTGATGAGATGATCATAACCTGCCCTTCTTCAGGGTCACCTATGGCTCCTCACTGTCCAGGTGCTGTAGGCCCCTCCTCCCCCTGAGTACCCTTCCCAGGCCTTATCTCTGGCCTCTCTCTTTCTCCCCCTCCCACCTCTCTTTTCTAACTTTCTTTCCATTTCTAAATGCTTCCTCTCTCTCATCTGGCCATTACAGCCTCCCACACAGTGCTCTCTCTGCCTACGTTGCTTCATCCTTCCACCTTCCCCGGCTGCTCCCCTGCTTAGCCATCTCTTCCTGGAGACAGCTTTCCGGGTGCACCCATTGATTCAGCTCTGCTCTCCCCCAGGATCCTAAAATGAGCCTGTCATCTCCTCCTGCCACACCAGGATCTGCCTGAGGGTGGCGACATTGGGCACAGAGCCTGGCATTCACTCACCATCCAGTAAGTGTTGAATGGGTGGCTTCATGGCCGGCCCCTTAAACTTTACATACTGCTATTCAGAGAAGAGTGTTTTGGGGCATCCTGCCTGCCTCTCCACCCACCAGGGCACACACAACCTTCACTTCAAACCTCCCTCTGTCCCAACACTCACGGATAAAGCTTTGCCTTCAGAGATAATCATGATTGGCCTCCAAGTATCTCTTCTTCCTTAATCTCTCTTCACCTCTCCCCACCATATGGATTCCATATCTGCACATTTCCCCGACAGATATAATGTATTTGTAACCCCTAAACCAACACTCTGCAAGCAGAAGGGACTGGAGGAGCTGGGAAGGAGGAGTTAATGAAGGGGGGTGACACTCAGGAGAGCGGAGCTGGGTTTTTAGGGTGACGGTAGGATTGATGAACAGTTAGCTATTCATGGCTCAAGGGAGAGGTTTGGAAGAGTTTTTAAATGCCAGTTTCAGGGGACTGGAGAGATGGCTCAGAGGTTAAGAACATTGCCTGCTCTTCCAAAGGTCCTGAGTTTAATTCCCAGCAACCACATGGTGGCTCACAACCATCTGTAATGGGGTCTGGTGCTCTCTTCTGGCCTGCAGGCATACACACAGAATATTGCATAAATAATAAATAAATAAATATT